CCGCGGCGGCGGCGGCGGCGGCGGCGACGGCGGCGGCGGCGTCGGCGGCGGCGGCGGCGGCGGCGGCGACGGCGACGGCGGCGGAGGCGCCGGCCGGCGCGGAGGGGAGGGAGGAAGAGGAGGCTCGCGTGAGCGACGGGCTGGCTCGGTGGGCGGGGTGGCTTTGTCGGGGGGGCGGCGGCGAGGAGGGCGGCGAGGAGGGCGGCGAGGAGGGCGGCGAGGAGGGCGGCGAGGGCGCCGGAGGCAGCAGCGCCTCGCTCCCCGCGTCGGTACCGCCGCCGCGGGCAGAGGCGGAGGCGGAGGCCGAGGCGGGGGCGGCGGCGGAGGCGGTGGCGGCGGAGGCGGAGGCGGTGGCGGAGGCGGCGGAGGCGGTGGCGGAGGCGGCAGCGGTGGCGGAGGCGGCGGTGGCGGCGGCGGCGGAAAACGCCGTCTCTGTCGGCGTGCAGCGGCTCGGTGGCGTGCCTGTGCCTCATGGCTGCGTCGCGCGGCTGCGGCGGGAGGGGGGGCGGGAGGGGGGGCGGGAGGGGGGGCGGGAGGGGGGGCGGGAGGAGTGGATGCTTGTTGGCCACGACCCCCCTCGACCCTGGCCGGAGCGCGCGCCGCCTCTGCTGCTGCCGCCGCCCCGGACTGTCGACGCTGCCGCTTCCGCCCCAGCTGTCGCCTCAGCTGTCGCCGCCGCCGACGCCTCCGCCGACGCCCCTGCCGCCGCCGCCGCTCTCGCCGCTGCCGCTGCCGCGCGCGCGCCGTCGCCGCCGCCGCTTCGCGCCTCCGTCAGCGAGCGCGCCGCCACCCTCCCTCCGCCGCGCCGGCCGCCGCCGCACCTGTTGCCGCTGCGGCCTGCGGGCGGCGGGGGCGAGGCGGTGGGCGGGCGCGACGAGGAGCTGGACGCGATCGTGCGGCATGTGCGCGCCTGCGTCCGCCGAGCAGAGTTGCGACCGCTCGAGGAAAATGGCGGCAGCGTTCGGGCGTCCTCCCTGCCCGACGAGGTCGCCGCGCCGGCCGGCCGCGCTCCCGCCGCGCACGCCGTCGGGGCCGCCGAGGCGGGCGCGCTGCACGGGCTTCTGCTCAGCGGCGGTGCGGGGGCGGGCAAGACGACGCTTCTCACCGCGGCAGCGGCGCGGCTCGGCGCGGCGGCGGCGGGGGCGCGCCGCCCGCGTCGCAACATGCCGCCCCGTGGCCCCACCGCTGGCCGGTGACTCCCCCTGCCCTTCCACCGCCCCATGCGCAGGCGCCTCCTCTATGGGCGGCCGCCTTGCCCGCCGCAGCGCTGCTCAGCGCGCAGCCGCCGGCAGCGGTGGCGAGGGTGCGGGAGGCGCTCGCGCTCGCGCTCGCCCGCCGGCCGTCGCTGCTCGTGCTGGAGGATTTGGACGAGGCGAGGCACTTCCTGGACACTTCCTAGACACTTCCTAGACACTTCCTAGACACTTCCTAGACACTTCCTGGACACTTCCTAGACAGCGAGTACCTCGTGCTGGAGGACCTGGACGAGGCGCGCGCCGCGCCTCTCATGTGTAGACTGCGGTTCATGAGCAGTGACTCCACTCTTTGCTTTGGCGAGGCGTGCCCCGCGCCTCCCTCACAAGCCGAGGAGGCGGCCGCCGCCGCGGCCGCGGGCGGGCTCGACGCGGGCCCCTTCCCCACGGCGCTCGCCCCGTTCTGCGGCCAGCGACTGTGAGGAGCAGTGGGCGAGGAGTCGCTGAGTAGAGGAGTCTTGCGGCAGGCCCTCGCCGAGCTGCTTCTCGACTTTGCGGCGGACGCGCGCGCGGCGGGCGTGGCGCTCCTCGCGACGGCGGCGGCGCGGCAGCAGCTGCACCCGGCCCTAACGACGGGCGCGGCCGCAGTAGCAGCAGTAGCTGGGTAGCAGCAGCAGCAGCAGCAGCAGCAGCAGCAGCAGCGGCTTGTCCGAGGGGCGGTGTGGCGAGATTGCGTCGAGAGGGCGCGAGAGGAGGTCGAGCGTGTGTGCGGGCGATGGCAGGCGGCCTCTTCGAGGCCACACCTCCAGAGGATCGGACCCAGTGTGGGTTCAGTCCCGTGGGTGGTGCGGTAGGCGGCCTCTTCGAGGCCACACCTCCAGAGGATCGAACCCAGTGTGGGTTCAGTCCCGTGGGTGGTGCGGTAGGCGGCTTGTTTGAGGCCGAGGTGAACTTGGCGCCGATGCCGCCCGCCGGACGGCACGCCGCCCCGCTGCAGCTGCTGCCTGTTGCCCGACACCGACCCCGACCATGACCCCAACCCACCGACCTGGCCCTAACCCTGACCCCCTCCCTAACCATAGGCGCGCCGCCCTGCTGCAGCTGCTGCCTCGCCTGCGGGCACGCCCGACGCGCCGCGTCGTCGACGCCGCCGTCTCCGTTTCCGACGGCGTCTCTCGCCCAGAAGCCGAACACGGAGTCTCGTATTCCAACCAGCGGTCGAGGGGACACATGTTCCGCGGCACTCGACCGCGTTCCGCTGTATTCGCTGCCCGGCGCATATTCACGCGGTGCTCTGAACACTCTGCACGGTGCCGTAGTCCCGTTCTGATGTTGGTGTATTGACCATGCAGGCTTCTCCGCCGCGGAGATCGAGGCCCTCGCCACCGCGGCCGCCGCCCGCGCAGGCGCCCGCGCCGCCGTCGCGTGTGCTGCGGCGGGCGGCGGCGCGGCGGGCGGCGGCGCGGCGGGCGGCGGCAGCGCCGGCGGCGGCACGGGCGCCGATTTGCGGCTGAGGCGTTCCGACGTCGCGGCGGCGGCCGCGCACGCGCGCCGCGCGTCTGGGCGATTTTCCTCCGGCCGGTGAGCACGTTCATCTTCGTTCGTTGAGCAGCGAGTGGATGAGCTAGGCGGCCGGAGCCGCTGCCTCGCGCGGGGGAGGGGGCGCTGCCTGGCTTCCGAGGGGTGGGCGGCATGGCTGCGGCCAGTGAGAGTAGAAGCGGAAGCACTGTCCTTGTGCTCCGGCTAGCCTCTCCCACGGAGCTGTGGGGAGATGTGGGGAGATGTGGGGAGATATGGGGAGATACGCTCCGGCTGGTCTCTCGAGAGGGCTCGCCCTCCGCGGTACTCGGCCGCGCCCCGCCGTCTCCACTGTCTTCGCAGCCCCTCGCCTTCACGCGGAGCTCTGAGTGCTCTGCCCGAGGCCGTCCTCCCGCCTCACGGGCTGTCCGCCCACGGCGTAGGCCAAGGAGGCGCTGACGCAGGCGGTGCTGCTGCCGCTCCGCCACCCCGCCTCCTTCGCGGCCGCGCCCCTCCGGCTCCGGTCGGGCGCACTGCTGCACGGCCCTCCCGGCTGCGGCAAGACGTTGCTGGCGAGGGCCGTCGCCGCTGAGAGCGGCCTCCCCCCCCCCTATCCTCGCCGTCTGCGCGCCCGACCTCCTTTTGCCATGGGCGGCGCGAATTTCGCTTGTTAGGTCTCGCCTTCATCAGCGGCCCATATCTCCCACATCTCCCCGCATCTCCCCACATCTCCCCACGTCTCCCCACATCTCCCCACATCTCCCCACATCTCCCCACGTCTCCCCACATCTCCCCACATCTCCCTGGTCAGGTCTCCCCTTCATCAGCGTCTCCGGGCCGGAGCTGCTGGACAAGTACATCGGCGCGTCCGAGGCGAAGGTGCGCGTGCGCGTCCGCAAAGGGCCGTCCACTCATCACGTGCATCCGCCCGTGCGTGGTGAATGATCCAGCCAACGTTAGGTGCGCGACACGTTCGCAAAGGCGAGCGCCGCCGCGCCGTGCCTCCTCTTCTTCGACGAGTTCGAGGCGCGCGGCCGCTGCGCCGGCCGCGCCCGGACGCGTCCTTGACGCGTCGCGTCCTTGACGCGTCCGCGACACGTCTCTCGCAAGGCGCTCGGCCGCGCGCGCGGCTGCGACTCGACCGGCGTGACGGATCGCGTGGTCAGCACCCTCGAATCAGTGTTCAGTGTAATCACTCATTAGTTGATGGATTCATTAGGCGTGACGGATCGCGTGGTCAACACAGATCTCCCCATATCTCCCCATATCTCCCCACATCTCCCCACAGGCGTGACGGATCGCGTCGTCAACACCCTCCTCTGCCATCTCGACGGCGTCGAGGCCCTCGGCGCCGTGTTTGTGCTCGCAGCCTCCTCGCGCCCCGAGCTGATCGACCCGGCTCCTCTGCTCCGGCCCGGCTGTTCGTTGAGGAGCTCGTTCGTCGGTTGACCTGCTGCTGCTGAACCATCAGGCCCTCCTCCGGCCGGGCCGGATCGACATGGCGGTGGCGTGCGGCTTGCCCGACGAGGAGGAGAGGCTGGCCATCCTCTCCGCCCTCGCACGCCCGCTTGGGCTGCCGCTCGCCTCACTCCGCCGCCTCGCCGCCATCGCCGCGGCCACCGCCGGCTACTCGGGCGCAGAGTTGCGCGCGGTCCTCAACGCGGCGCAGCTCGCGGCGGCAAGGGAGGCGGGCGCCGCCGCCGGGGCGGCGCAGGCGGCGACGCCGCGGGCGGCGGCGCCGCTCTCCGCCTCCACCGCCGCGGACCGCGCCACCGCCGCGTCGGCGGCGCGCCTGCTCGCGGCGGTATCGCCCGGATGGTGCGATGCGGCGGCCGTCTGGCGGGAGGAGCTGCGGCGTGGCGCGGGCGGCGGCGGGGCGGCCGACGTTGGCACCGGGCCGCCGCCGATCGAGGTGCGCCACCTCGACGAGGCGCTCCGCTCCTGCCAAGACAGCCGCTCCTCTGGCTCTGCCTCCGCGCCGTCCTCGTCGTCCTTTGGGAGCGCACCGGGGGCGGGGGGCGGGGACGCCGTCCGCCAGCCACGCTGCCGCGTCATGCACGCATAAATCTCCCTTTATTTCTTTCTCAATCCCTTTGAATCGTAGAGAGTGGCGTCTAGTTGGTCTATAGAGCGCACCTTTTGGCTTTTCGGTTGTAAAGCTCCGTAAAATTCACACAGACTTTCACAGGACGATAATCGATATAGTTATAGAACGCTCAAACGGGCGGGCCGGGCCGCGCGGGCGCCAATGAAAAATTAATAAAACAGACACCTCCTCTACTAGGAGATGGGTAAAAGCTGTGCTCGTCAGCGGGGCCGAGGACGAAAGCGGCGACCGCGACGACGCCCGGGGCGCGGCGGCTGCGCGCCGTTGCGAGCCGGCGACGCGGAGGAGGAGGCGGCGCTGCAGCGCGCCCTGCTCGAGAGTGTCGGCGTGAGGTTTGCGGGCGGCGAGGAGGACAGAGAGGGCGTGGCAGACTGAGGTCGGTAACGAGGGCGGCAAGGAACGAGATCCCTCACCAAGATCGCGCGCGCAGGGGCCAGGGCGGGAAACATGGTCATGGATCCCACTATCCGTCTCGTGTTTGACCAACTTCATTGATTTGTTTCCTTACAACGGCCATGAAGCTAAGCCGGCTCCGCGACGTGCCCGGCCCCGTGCTCGAGGCTCGAGGGCACTCTCGAGCCCAGCTGCCCAGCTGCACTAAAAGTCTAAAGTGGACGAAAGACTAAACGCAAGATCGAGATGGGCGTTGAACAGCCTCGCCCTTGTAGAGTATCCCGGACGTTCCAGCGCCGAGGTCACAGACTGTCACATTGTGGGAGAGCATCCACGAAAGCCAATCCTGTGCGCCGGGGTAACGGGTGCGGGCGTGGGAACGAGCAAAAGTGCCTGGCTGCCTTGAGAGGGAGGTGGCGAGCTGCCTTCTCCGCCACAAATGCCGGCCCGTGAGGGCATGCAGACCGGCCGCAGTAATCGACCTTTGCGTGTGCTAAGAGCCCCAGCCGAAGCTTTGGGCCCTTCCCTCTTGCACCGTGCCGAGCCGCCGCAGGCTCGACCCGCTCCCACCCAGCCCTCACCGCAGCTTGCGCGTTGCCGATGACTCGCGCCTGCGCCTTGCTGGCCGCGGTTGCTCGCTGGCTATGGCCAGCTGATGAGAGAGAGACGCCCATGTCGACAAATGGAACCGTCATGACCTTGTTGTAGTGCTTCCAGTTGGTCCGGTCGAACGCGGAGGGGTGTTGCGCGAGCAATGTCCGCAGCCATGCGCCCGTGTGCACCGGCAGGCGCGCCACGTCGGAATGTGACTGGTTGCTCCGCCCCGCACCTCGCTCACGTGGAGGAAAGAGTGCTGGTAGGCTGACCCACAGCCGTGAGGCAACACCCATCAGCTCTCGCGGCCCCCAGATCGTGTGGTCGGTGGCCGCGTGCACTGCTCGAACCTGAAGCAGCAGAGAGCGAGTCGTGAGCAAGGCCAAGCGTGGCCCCACAGAGGCACTCGCGCCATGGCCTTGGAAGCGGCGAGAAACGACGGGTTGCACGCCGACCAGGGAGGAGACGGGATCGAGTCAAAGCGGATCTTGACCACGACCTCGTAGCTGCCCCTCTTCCGTGAGCCTTCGGCCTGCTCCATCAGCCTCCACGCGTGCCACACGCGGTACCACTGCAGCTCGCCTGCAGCAAAGCACAGGCCTGGTCGGTGCGCGGCCGCCATACGCCCGAGTTGGCATCGTTCGCGCTCCCTTCTCAAGCGGCGATCGCCGGCCCGAGCCGCGCGCTGACGGCACATGCGACCATGCTGTAGCCGGATGAAGGTGACGCAGGCGCATCGCCAGCGGGAGGCTAGTCAGAGCAACCCCCTTGAGATTCCGAGGCAACGCTGTGGCTAGCTTTGATAGCACCGTCACGGAGAGTTCCAGCTGGGATGTCGGCTGCGAAAGCTGTGAGTCTGACCTCGGATCTGGCTCTGTCATCGCAAAGACATCAGCGTGCAACGAAGCCACGAGTCCACGCAGGGCCGATTCAGAATGGTAGGGAACCGGAAGGAGTCCCACTGCCAGCAGTGCGACGGAGACAGCCCGGGCTTCGCACGACGAGCTCTCGTCCGCCATCGAAGCATTCGTAGGCTGGAAGAGGACGCGCGACCATATCTTGGCTCCTGTGGGCCTCGGACAAGTTTCCGCGTAACAGCAAACAATACGAATTATGACGAGTTCTCTCGCGCTCGCCGCGGCTGCGGCTGTACTCGTCTGGAGCACCCCGCGCTCACCTGCGACAGCAGTGTCAAACGACCCACTTCGCCCTGACCCGGTGGCCGCTTTTGCGGGCGCTGTCAAGGGGTCACGGCACACACCGACTTCTCTTCTCGCTCTCGGGTGAAGCCCTGAGCCCTCCGTCTTTGCTACTAGGATAGAGGAGAAGCGGACCTGCATCATTCGTAAGATTGAGCAGTTGCAACGCAAACTACTCCTCACGGGCAGAGTGAGTTCGAAATCTGCTTTGTAGCCGGTTGGTCCAAGGCAACGCTAAGTCCCGCGCAATGTATGTTACGCGCAGGAGCATCTGCGGAAGCTGCTCGTGACATTCGATCTCAGGCTGCTCCTCCGAGCATACGACGAGCCGATCGGCTCGATCTCTGAGGCTTGGGCGTGGGCTAAGGCGACTGGCCGTCAGGCTGCCGACCGTGCTGGAGCTCGGCAACACACGCAATCTCTCATTGGTGCCGTACTGCAAGATAGGAGGAGCTCGAGGATATCGCGCGCCCTTGGAGGTGGCTTGATCTCTAGCTCACGCCCCTCGATCATTCATTAGGTCAGGAGAGTGGAGAAGCCCGACGTCGTCGCCGCACTAGGTCCACACCTGGATGGCCTCTTGCGCGCACTTCAGGCCAGCACAAACCCTCCCGCCGCCCTCACTGGGAAGCACGGCACCCGCGATGAAAAGCAGAGGTGCGCACAATCAACACACACACAACGATTCTTTCTGTTCTGTCTGCATCTGAGGTGGGCCTGTTGCAAACAGGCGGTGCTTCAAGCGCCTCGCAATCGCCCTCGATGGAGTCAACTGCACATCGGGGGCCCGTTATGCCCCATTGCTAGTGGACCGCATGCGCGTGATTCTCTCCTCACCCGAAGTACAGTGCACCCGATGGGCGAGATGATGCGGCCACGCGGCGGCGGCGGCCCTGTTGCGATTGCACCCGCGTTGATTGAGGGTTGAGGCGGCCGGTATCAGGCCGGTGTGGATGAGAGGTTGCGAGAGTCGATTGTAGCTACAGGATGTCCACTTTCTTGTATGTCCGGGCAGCCATTTCTGAGAAGGGGAGGGGGAGGGGCTGCGAATGGAACTTTCGGGGGGCCCGGAGCGCGTGCCACAAGAGCCCGCCACAGCGGAGATCACCGCTCGAGCCTCGCCGCGCTTCCACGACGCTGACGGACGTGCGCCATGGCAACAGCGCACAGCAGCGTGGCAGAGCCCCTGCTCCCGCCGACCGCCGCTCGGCGCGGCACCCTCCGCCGCATGCGGCCGCTTGCGGCCGTCGCTGTGCCTGCTATGGGAGTCCTCCTCGGCTTTGCGGTCCCCGCGGTGGCGCCGACTGAATACTTTTGCCCAGATTGGGCACACCAGGCCTCTATGATCCTGGGCTGGACCTACTTTTTGGCATGGTCTGTCTCCTTCTATCCCCAGGCCGTGCTCAACTGGGAGCGCCGCTCGGTCGTTGGGTTGTCCCTTGACTTTACGGCTCTGAATGTTGTCGGTGCGGCTCCGCCCTTTGCCCCTGCGACCGAGGCGATTGCGGCGCTGGGCGCTCACGCTCACCCCCCTCTGCCGCGCAGGCTTCGCGTGCTATTCTGTCTTCAACGTGGGCATGTACTTCTGGCCCGCGGTGCGCGAGCAGTACGCGCAGCGTCACGACGGCAGCACGGCGCCGCTCCTACGGAGCTGAGGGAGCCTCTCGGCACGGCACCGCACCACCTATAGGCGCGATGCCGCTCGTGCGACCGAATGACGTCTTCTTCTCCCTGCATGCCCTGGTGCTCTGTGCCATCGTGGGCTTGCAGGCTATCATGTACCCGCGCGGCAGCCAGCGCCTCTCGTGGCTGTCACGCGGCATGCTGGGCGCCTGCGCTCTCATGGTGCCCGTCGGAGTCGTGCTCGCGGCCGCGCATGCGTGCGCGGCGTGCACGTGGCTCGACCTGCTCACCAGCCTCTCCTACTTCAAGCTCGCCATCTCCATCACCAAGTACGTGCCGCAGGTCGTGCTCAATGCGAAGCGGCGCTCCACCGTCGGGTGGAACATCGACAACGTGGTGCTCGACTTTGTCGGCGCGCCTCGCCCAGTGCAGTCGCCGCGAGAGGAGCCGCGCCGCGAATCGGCTGCGTGCTGCGAATAGGTGGCATGCTCTCGCTCGCGCAAGCGGTGCTCGACGCGGGCTGCAGCGGCGACTGGAGCGCCATCGCAGGAAACCCGGTCAAGTTTGGGCTCGGCTTCTCCTCAATGGTGTTTGACACCGTCTTTCTCATTCAGCACTACGTTCTCTACCCGAATCGCCGCTCAAGCGTTGCGCTCAGTCCTCACTGACACACGCGTGAGCAATGACGTGCGGCAAACTGGTGTGCGCCCGACCGGCGCAACCAAGCGGGGACGATTTCTGTCTCTCTATCTCTCTGTCTGTCTCTCTGTGTTACGAGGAGGGGTGCAGAAAGTGGAAGCAGTCTCAAGTTGGGCCCTCAGGTAAGCACACTGGCAGATTTTATATCCCGAGGCGGTGCCCGGTGAACCTGAGGTGAGCACTTGGAGCACTTGGAGTGCCGCCGCGGTTTGTTTTTCTTCATTCATGGAGCCAACCGCGCTGCTCGACGCCGCCCGCCAGGCCGCGCCGGCGCACCTGCAGCGTCCCGAGTCTGGCCTGTCGGTCCGCCACGCCGCCGCCGCCACCCGCCCCGGTTACAGCGTCCTCGAGGTGGGCATCGCCGGCGCCTTCTCCGCCGCGATAGAGGTGGCGGTGGCGCCCGAGGGCTCTGCGGGCTGGCTGCCGCGGCGCGTGGTGGTGGGCCCGCACGAGGACGGGGCCGCGTGCCCCGCGTACCTGCCGCACCCGCGGACGCACCTCTTCCGCGCCCTCTCCGCCCACGCCGGCTCCCTCCTCGTGCATCTCGACGCTCTGCCGCCGGCGGAGCGGTGAGCGGGCGGCGCTCTCTCTCCGTCCACGTCCACTCCTCAGCACCTCCTGCGACCTGCCCGCGGCTCGCCACGCCCCCTAGCGGCCCTCGCGCTGACGCCTCCTCGGCGGTGGCAGGCTACCGCGGCTCATCCGATGGCTCTGCTCTCTGGACGGCCTGTGGACCGAGCGTTGCGCGATGTGCGGCCAGCGACCTGGCGAGCCGGCAACACACCGCGGCGCCTCCTCACACCACGAGCGGCGCGAATAGGTGCGGCCGGCTGCTCGCGCCGGCCGGGCCGAGCAGCACGCGCCTGCTGCCGCCCACCGTCCGCACGCCGCAGCTGCAGGCGTACCATCCGGGCTGCTTTGCCGCGAGCCGGGGGTCGGCCTGCTGGGAGGCGGAGTGGGTGGCGCTGAGGGAGTGATGCGGCGCACAGTCATCACGGGCGGCGCACAGTCATCACCAACGACACGGTCACAGTGTGTGTGCAGTGCGTACACTCCGGCGACCGTGACGCCGTCGGCGCTCGTCAAAAACATCTACTGTGGAGCTCTAAGTCTAGCTTCGTGTTGTACTAGTGATGCTGCACTAGGCGGCCCGTTTTTAGCAAAAAGCAGATACCACATCGCGTGTGGTCATCGAAAAACCGCATGTTCGCCCGTCTGGGACCTCTTCGTACGAACTCCGAAAACTGCTCCTTAACGACGACTACGCGGCCCGGCGGTCGATCTTCGCCTTCTCAGCGGTGGAGGGGATGTGGATGGTACGTGCGGACCGCGTGGTGCTGCGATGGTTTGACGAGTGCGACTCCCAGCGTCGACTCTGCGACCCCACGGAGCCTCTGCTGCTCCCACCGCGGGGGGGGGGGGTCTGCAGACCACCCGGCCGAACTTCAGAGTCGCGGTGCTCCTCAAATACGGCTCAAACGCCCACGATGTTGTGGGGGGGACATATGCTGATGATCCTGGCCCAATTGGTTCGCTCAGAAAGCTTCTGCACTGGGCGGTCGTCAAGGTTCGCTCCCCGCACACCGGCCCCGGAATAAGTTACATCAATCATCAGAACATGGGCGGCTCCGCTCAGCCCGGGAGAGACGTGCCCCAATCGGCATGCGCGTATTCTTCCACGCCATACGCTACATCCACCGCCACCGGATCGAGCGGCTGCTTCCACACGCCCTGGAAAGCTCACCTTAAACGTCCGGCTGCAAAGCTGCCGTTTTCAGTGCGATGACAAGTGGCCGCCACTCTAGATAGGATCTTGCTCTCCCTGCTCCCGAGCTTCTCTTCACTGCGCCACTCTTGGCATGTGGCAAGCACCCGCCCCGGTTGTGCCCCTGGGAGGAAGAAGAAACAGAGAGTCATGGCCTGCCGCTGCGAGACCGTTTCTGAAAGTGAGGCCTCGTCAGGTTCAACCTTGGGCCAGGTACCAATTTTGTCGAATTTATTTCAAAATTTACAGGCGCGGAGCGCCTGCGAAAATTTTGAAGAAATTTGCAGTCGGGCCTGATTTTCATCAAGATCTTTCACATTTGCGGTGTGGAGTTGGGGGGTGGGTTAGGTTAGGGTTATTAGGGTTAGAGGGTTAGGGTTAGGGTTAGGGTTAGGGTTAGGGTTAGGGTTAGGGTTAGTGTTCTTGTGTTTGTATGCCAGCGTTGCAGAGTTCTGCGCTGGGATCTGGCCCCAGCGCGGACGAGTAAGACTCAGCACCGCACGCTGACCCCACCAAATGCCGCCTCAGGGCGCCAGGCCGCCAGCCACCTCATACACGCGGCCGGCGCCCTCTCGCGGCAAAAGGGTCGAGCGAGCGGGCAGAGTCGCGATGTCTGCGCACCCGCGTGCTGATGGGGCGGCACACGCAGCGGAGAGAGGCCCTGTCGCGCCGCCAGTAGCGTTCCGCACTCCCCACGCCACCAATTGCCGCCTCAGGGCGCCAGCCACCTCTTACACGCGGCCGGCGCCCTCTCGCGGCAAAAGGGTCGAGCGAGCGGGCAGAGTCGCGATGTCTGCGCACCCGCGTGCCGATGGGCGGCACACGCAATCGAGAGAGGCCCTGTCGCGCCGCCAGTGGCGTTCTCCGCAAAACTCCCCACGCCACCAATTGCCGCCTCAGGGCGCCAGCCACCTCTTACACGCGGCCGGCGCCCTCTCGCGGCAAAAGGGTCGAGCGAGCGGGCAGAGTCGCGATGTCCCTGCGCACCTGGGTGTTCGCCGCCTATATGCTCTATCCTGTGCCAAGACGGACACGTTTTGACAATCAAAATCTACCTCAAAATTTGCGGCCGCCCCTCGAAATTTGCTGATCAAAATTTGCGGTGGCCCGGATCGAAACCTGTACTTTGGCCAAGTTGCTTCTCGCTCATCCACCCACCCTCCTCGACCTTCCCGACGATACCAGCGGGCCCGCCTCCACCTAGAAGACTGGTGCTGAGGGGTGGGCGTTCCCTGCCTCCGGCTACTGCATATACCTGAGCTAGGGCCTGAGAGGCCTCGCTGGAGCCGAGGCATAGCGGCGTGATTTCGGACCTCCACGACCCTCGTCATGTCCCGGGCTGTGTGGCCTCAACCCTAGCCGGCCCGCTGTTCCTACGGTTGCGCGAGCTGTCCGAAGCTGTCACAGCTAGGGTTGCAGGACCTCGAAAGCCGGTCATCCACCACCCGAAAGTGGCCGCCCTGCCCTCCAGAGCGCCGCCACAGCCGTCGTGCAAAACGGCCCAACCACCGACACGACCGCCACCGTCCGGCGGCAAGGCATACGCTCTGAGGCCGTAGAATGGTGACAGCTGCATCTAGCTCTTTGCGCGGGTCAAGTGTACCTGGCCTCACCTTGATGGTCCTAGGCGGGCTTCTCCACAGGAGTCGATCTTGGAGAGGGGCAGTGCTCACTCTGCACTCTCTGGTCGGCCTGCTGTACCGACCCGTCGTGGCTTCACATCTACCTCGTGCCAGCGGCTCTCCTCGGCACCAGAGCGCTCCATCCTTTGTATTAAATGAACTCGGGGGCACAGGACGCGGTACAAACGGGGCCCCATCCTTACGCCAGAGCCTGTCCTGGGGCGGGGCCCTACGCCCTCACAATCATACGCATATAAAACCCCCCGGACTCAATCGATTGTACTGCGGTGGTGTGAGTGAATGCACCGCATGAACATGAGCAACAAGCTGACGAGCCACGAGGCCTGGGAGCAGCCTGGGTCGTCAGTACGTGTAGCGTGTAGTCTGTAGAGAGCGGTCGTAAATCACACGGCCGCAAAGTGGCGGGGAGGGGGTTCGAGGGTGGGGGCTGGGGCAAAGAGAGCGAGAGTTTCCGGTGGATACATCAATACACAACCAACTCTCCCTTCGACAGGGACCAAAACAAGCAACGGACGGGGTTGCGTCAGGGTTGCGTGTGAAAGAGAAGATGCACATGGAGACGACAGAAACACGTGCTGGGGGGCGCAAGACATACACACGCGCTTGTGTGCCGCATGCCCCCGCTCCTCATAACAGGGGAGGAGGCCTCGCCAAGTGCGGCGTCAGCGTGGGTGTCGAGGCCGACGGCGTCGAAGTCCCCCGCTCCAGCTCGGCCGCCGACCGCTCCGCTCCTCCAAAGCAGCCGCAAGTGACGGCGAGCGCCTCGGTCGTCTGCGCGCCGCCGCCGCCGTCCTCGTCGCCGTCGCCCCCCCTCGACCCGAGCGAGCGACTCCGCCCCCCGGCCTCGGCGCCCGGGTTGATGCCGAGGTCGCGTAGGAACTGGGCGCACCGCTCCTCGTCGAAGCTGCGCGCACCACCAGCAGGGCTCGGCGAGCGGCGGGAGGCGCGGCGGCGGAGGCGAGGGGAAGGGGACGGGGCAGAGGGGGCGCGGGTGCAGACACACATCCAGCCATGGCGGACGGGGGGCGGGGTGGGAGGGGCTTGGTGCCGGGAGAGCGAGGGAGGGAGGGAGGGAGGGGAGGGGGGGGGGGGGGGGAAGCGGCGTTGCCTGGCTCCGGCTCGCGCAAAGAGGTCGAGGGCCGCCTGGAAGAGCCGCGCCTGCCGGGCGCGCGTTAGGGGGCGCACGTCAGTGGGCGTGTCGTGGACGCGGCCGGCGCTGCGCCGCCCTCGAGCAGCCGCGCGCCTTTTGGTAGTCGGAGGAGGCGCCCTTGCCGAGCTCGACCAGGCCGAGCGCGCGCTCGTACGCCATGCCAAGCCGCGAGGCGATGCTGACTGCCTTGTGGAAGTGGCGCAGCGCGCGCGAGCGGCGGCCGCCGAGCATGTCCAGCTGGCCTGAAGGGGGGGGGGGGGGGGGCAGCACGCGCGCGCGCAGTGAGCCAACAGCCAGCCGGTGCACTGGCGGCGTGGTGGAGGTGTGTGTGGCGACTCTTCGTGAGCGAGTTGGTTCGTTCACTGCGGGCGCCGTCTCAGGCGCGACGCTCGCGCGGCGGCGAGCGGGAGGGTGCGCCGGGCGCGCGCCTCAGCAGCAGGGCTACATCAGGGCTACATCGGCCACATCTCTGCCACATCTCTGCCAGATCGCGGCCATGTCTCGGCTACATCCTCGCCCCTCAGCAGCAAAGCGCGGGGCCGTGCCACCGCGTACAGCTCGCCTGCGACCGCGCGTGAGGTAGGGCGAGACGGTCGGGGCAGAAGCGGTTGGGGCAGAAGCGGTTGGGGCAGAAGCGGTTGGGGCAGGGCGGACAGGGGCGGCAGAGGTGGAAGAGGCGCGCGGGGGGGGGCGGCGCGGGGGGGTCGGGAGGGGGAGGGGGGGGGGGGGAGCACGGAGCGGCTGCTGCTGCGGCGGCGGCGGCGTGGCGCGCGGCGGCCGTGGCGGCGGTCACCGAATTGCTTCAGCCGGTCGATCCACTCCTGCGCGTACCGCTGCAACCGCTCGACGTCGAGCCCGCCGGCGGCGCCGCCGGCGGCGCCCGCCTCCGCGGCCGCGTCGTCGTCCGCCGCCGGCTCGAGGATGGTCACGCGCGTGGTGAGGGCCGGCGTGGAGGCGGCCGCGCGGGGCGCGCACGCGGCGGGCGGGGCGGCGGCCTCGGCGTCGTCGTCGTCGGCGAACTGGGCGTCGCGGGGGAGGCGTGCGCCGGAGTGCTCGGGCGCGCAGGCGGTGTGGCGGGAGGTGTCCAAGGCGGATGACGAGGCGGCGCTGTTCGGCCGCGCGCGCGAGCGGCGCATCAGCGCGTCCGAGCAGCGGCTGAAGACGGAGCCGCGCGCGGGCGGCGCCGGGGCGTGCTCGAGTCCGCGCTCGAGGAGCCGCAGAAACACCTCGGCCGTGGAGGCGAAGGCCTTGAGGACGTAGTACTTTGTGCGCGGCCCCTTGAAGCGGTCCTTGACCTTGAGCGCGTACCCGAGCGCGCCCTCCTCGTCGCCCATCCGGAGCAGGCAGAGGGCGAGCTGGCCGTACGAGTTGGTCTCCTTGAGGATCGCGTGGGCCTCGGCGGTGCGGTTCGAGGCGAGGTTGACGGCGGCGATGCCCGACTGGCACCGGTTGATCATCTGCTTGTCCGCGCGCGCCTCGGCCGACTCGAGCGCCGCCTGGTAGCACTCGAGCGAGGCCGCAAAGTCGCCCGCGTAGAACTCGAGGTGGCCGCGGTGCGAGACGACGTCCTCCCACAGCCGGCGGTCCTTGAGCCCGTGCACAATCTCGCGCGCGCGGGAGAGGTTGTCGCGCGCGGCCGCCCAGCGCGCGGAGGCGGCGTCGTGGATGCCGACCGCGAGGAGCGTGAAGGCGAGCTGCGCGTACTCGCCCAGCTGGCGGCACGACCCGAGCGCCTGCGCCTTGTAGTACGCAACCGCGCGGCGCGAGCCGCCCGTCGCCGCCGTCACCGCGAGCAGGTCGGCGTACGCGCGCGCCACGACCGGCGCGAGCGAGGCGAGGCGGAGGCCGAGGGCGAGCGAGCGGCGCGCGCAGTAGTCGGCGAGCCGGATGCGGTGATTCATGAGGTAGATCTGAGAGAGCAGCTCGTAGCACGTCGCGACCTCGGCGAGCCGCCGCTCCTCGGGCGCCTGCGAGACATGGCCCGGACGTGTCTAGGGCGTGTCCTGGAAGGGGCGAGCCGCCGCTCCTCCTCGTGCGCCGTCGGCGGGGGGCCGCCCGGCTGCGGCCAGCGCGAGAACGGGAGGAAGACCTTGCGCAGGTGGGCGAGGCGCATGAGCTGCGAGCGCCACGCCAGCGCGCCTAATTAATGACCAATGAATGAGTAGACATCTCGCCCTAAGAATTAAGAATCAATGAGCGCCACGCCAGCGCGCCGTCCGTGTAGCCCTCGAGCGGCTGCCGCTCGATCTCAAACGCGACGAGCGCCTCGTTGAGCCTCGCCTAATTAATTCTCCATCAATCACTTACCTGACAGCCCGTTGAGCCTCGCCTAATTCACGTCTCGCTGAGCCGCGCCTCGGCCGCCTTGTGCTGCCCCTGCAAAAAGTGGCGCCGGGCGATGCGGCGGAGGAGCGGCCCGCGCTGCGCGCGCACGGCGCCGCCTCCGCCCTGCGCCGCGGCGGCCTCGGCGTCGACGATATTGAGCGCGGCGGTGTGCAGCTCCTCCGACTCGACGAGCGAGAAGTTGTCGAGCGCGCGGTCGCCGAGCAGAGTCAGGTAGTGGACCGCCTTCTCCTGCGCGTGCGGCGACGGGCCCGCGCGCCGCCAGTGGTGCACCAGCGCCTCGAGGTGCGTCTCGCCCACCCCGCGCGCGGTGGCGGCGGCGGCGGCGGCGGCGGCCTGCGTCGCGCGCGCGCCGCCGCGGCGCGGCTCCTCCGCGGCCTCCTCCTCGCGCCGCTCGCGCTCCGCGGCGGCCATCGCCGCCAGCCGCTGCTCCTCAAAGTAGAGCGCGGCCGCGTAGTGCAGCCGCTCCTTGAGCTCCTCGGCGGTCAGGTCGTACGCCACCTCCTGCAGGTACCGGTGCTTGAAGCGGTAGTCGCCGCCGCCCGCCGCGCCGCCTCCCGACGACCCGTTGACGTCGTCGGCGCCGGCCGCCGCCGCCGGCCGCCGCTTCGGCGTGTTGGGCTCGGCGATCGCGCGGCGCGGCGCGAGGGTGGAGCGCGCGCCGCGGCCGGCGCCGCCCCTCGCGTCGCGGCCGGCGCCCGACATGCGGCGCAGCATGTCCGCCTCGGAGGACGTCAGCGTCTCGAGCGTCGGCTCGATCGCGTCGGCCGGGATGCCGATGGCCGCGCCGGCGGCGCCGTTGCCGTCGATGTCTGAGCGCGAGAGCATCCGCTTGACGGCCTCCACGGAGAACTCGGAGCCGCAGACCGCCGCAACCTTGAGCAGCAGCAGCGAGGCGGGCGGGAGCCGGTCGAAGCGCGAGGTGATGAGGGCCTCGACCGAGGGCGGGAAGTCGATGAGGTCGAGCGAAACCTTGAGCTCGCACCGGCCGTCGACGATCTGCACGAGCCCCTCGTCGCGCATCGCGAGGGCGAACTCCATCGCAAAGAGCGGGTTGCCGGCGGACCGGTCCATGATCTCGCGCGCCACCGCGGTGGGCAGCGAGTCGACGCCCAGCGTGCGCTGCAGCAGCTCCTCCACCTAACCCGCACGACAGCGACTCACCGGTGCGGGACGGGGCACGAGGGCGCTGCGGCTGCGGGCCCGTCGACCTCGTGCGCGCGCAAGCCGGACAGCTCGGAGCGCCTCGCGGCGGCGAGCAGCGCGGTGCCCTCGGGCGGCAGCTTGGGCTCTGCGCCTGCGGGACATGCCGTGGTGGACGTGTCACGCACATGCGTGGACAGCGGGCGCCACACCCCGGCCGGCGGTTCTGAGGTCTGTGCCGGGCCGCATCGAGACGAGGAGGAGGAGGGGGGAGAGCTCCTTGCGCACGGCCTCGAGCAGCTTCCACGAGGACGAGTCCATCCAGTGCACGTCCTTTACTCAACCAAGGAGTCACTGAAATCGAGGGAGTGGACTCGGTGACCCCGCCCCTCCAGTGCCACTCCTCAAAGACGAGGATGGTCCTGCCGCCCGCGAGCTTGGCGCGCAGCACGCGCACCATCAGCCGGATCGCCTGCATCCATGAAGGACTCCGGTCGTGAGTAGTAGCGGACGGACTAGCACCGCGCGCGCCATGCGGCCGGGCCGCCTCGAGCAGCCGCGTCTCGCCGGTGAGGTGTGAACAAGGAAGTGTCTAGGAAGTGTCTAGGAAGTGTCCGCCTCGAGCAGCCGCGTCTCGCCGGTGAGGTGCTTGGTCACCTGTGGGGCAGGCCAGGGGACGGGTGGGGACCCGGCGGCTCCGGGACTCGCCTCGCTTGCCAGGTGGCCACCTCGTTGTCCGGCAGGCTCAGCGGCAGCACCGGGCTCAGCAGCGGCGCCAGCTCGAGCACCCTCGCCGAGCAGAGCAGCTCCTCGTCCGCCTGCGGCCGCGGGGCAGGGACATGGGGGGGGGGGAGCACGTGAGCAGGCCAGGGGCATGCGAGGGGTGTGTGAGGGGACGGGGCAGAGGGACGGGTGGGGACGTGTCAACGACGTGACCGCCTGCGGCCGGATCGCCACGAGCCCCTCGAGCGCGCGGCTGCCGACGCAGCCGAGGGCGTGGAGCGGCAGCGTGAACGCGAGCGTGGTCGCCGCCGCGTCGCGCCACCGCTGCCGCGGCGAGCGCCACTCGGGCACCGCCGGCAGGTCCTCGGCCGCGGGCGGGTCGGCCGGCGGAGGCACGAGCGAGACGCGCCGGGTCGAGGAGCTGGAGCTGGACCTACGCGGCGAGCCCAGGGCGCGTCTGGGGCGTGTCCTGGAAGGGCCGGCCTGTGTCGCGGCGCGGAGAGCGGCACGTGGGCCGCGAGCTCACGACGCCGAGCATCGGAGGCCCCTCCCCCACGGCGCTGCCCGCCGCGCTCCTCGCGACCGGAGGCGACGGCTCGCTCCACTCCGCGAAGCCCGAGAAGGCGGTCATGGCGCTGCGCAGCCGGCCCGCCAGAGCAGAGCTCCGCAGGTGCGCGCCGGCGGTGCCCGAGCCGGCGGCGGAGCTGACCAGGTTCGGAAACGTCCCCGAGCGGCCGCACGTGCGCCGGTTGCCCGCCGCCCCCGCCGCCGCGCCCGCGGCGCCGCCCGGCGCGCCGTCCGTCGACGAGGCCAGCGACTCGAAGGTGGCCGACGACTCGAGCGGCGGCGGCGCCGCCGCCGACGGCAGCGGGTGGTACCCCTTTGGGGACCCCGACCAGGCCGCCGCCCCCACGAGGCTGGCGAGCGACGCGGCGCCGGCAGCCCTGGCCTTTGCCCTGCGCGCGGGCGAGTCGTCTGACGGCGCCGCCTGCTCGAGGACGGCGCCGCTGTGCGGGCTGGCGGGGGCGGCGGCTGGCTCGGCGGCGGGGACGACGGCGGCGGCGGCGCTGGCGGCGCTGGCGGCGCTGGCGGCGGTGGTGGCGGTGGTGGCGGTGGTGGCGGTGGTGGCGGCGGCGGCGGCGGCGGCGGCGGCGGCGGCGGCGCTGGCGGCGGCGGCGCCCGACGCGCCCTCAGGTACCGACAGGGCGGCCAAGCCGGAGCGGTACTCCGCCGGAGCGAGCGGACTCCGCCCGACGGCGGGTGGGGGCGGCTGCGGCTGCGGCCGGGCGGGCGGCGGGCGCTGAGGCCGCACGCCCGGCGAGGGCGGCACGCTTCCCTGGGCAGCGGAGTATGTCGAGGCCGCCTGCTGCCTGCGCTCGGCGGCGGCGGCGGCGCGCGGGGCGGCGGCGGTGTTGCGGCCGTCCTTCCTCGCCTCGGCCTCCTTTGAGCGGTGCGCGTGCTCCGTCGCGCGCAGCGCGAGCGTGCGCAGCGCGTCGTCGGTGAACAGGCGGTCGAAGATGGCGCGCCAGAGGAAGAATGGGGCGGTCGACTCGATCGGGCGGGAAGAGTTGAGCAGCAAGCCGACCTGAAGAGGCGAGGGGAGATGTCTCGGACGTGTCATGGGCGTGCACTGGACGTGTACTGGACATGCGGCGTCGACGGAGGAGACTAGGGGTGAAGGAGTGCTCGAGTTGTGAGTCGCGGGTTGTGCCCTGCCTCGAGCGGAGCAGAGCAGGCACGTGGCTCGGAGCGCTAGGAAGTGTCGGGGAAGTGTCGAGGAAGTGTCGAGGAAGTGTCGGGGAAGTGTCGAGGAAGTGTCGAGGAAGTGTCGGGGAAGTGTCGGGGAAGTGTCGGGGAAGTGTCGGGCACACCTGGCTCGGAGCCCCGCCCGACGCCTGGGCGTGCAGTGCGCGAAGCACCGACACCATGTGAGTCTTTCCCATGCCCGACTCGCCCACCAGGACGTGCGCCTATGGGACACGCCTCGCACACGTCGTGGACGTGTCCTGAACATGGCCGGCTCGCCAACCAGGGCGTGCACCGTGCACGCGCCCTCCTCGAGCGAGCGCAGCGCGTCACGCAGCGCGTCGATCTCCGCCTGCGGGTTCGGCGTCGGGTGGAGGACGGAAGGGTCGAACCGCCCCCGAGAGCCGGCCGAGGGGGCGCCGCTGAGCACCCCCCCCCCCCCCCCCTCCTCGCCCGGTGGTTCAAACCCGCCCGGTGGTGTCTAACTCGCCCCCGCCTGCCGGCCGAGCGTGCGCTCGACGACGCCGTCGCTGCCCGAGTCCGCCAGCCGCGGCGACTTGGCGCCGCCGAGCTGCTCCTTGGCCGACACGGCCGCGGGGCCGGTCGGCCGCTTGCGCGTGTCGGGCGAGAGCGCGGCCATCGACGCCTTTGCACGACAGGAGGCGGGTGGGGTACGGACGCGTGAGCGAGTGTCTGGCCGAGCGCGCGGCGGTCGACCGCCTTTTGGATCTTCATCGACGCCGAGATGCCGCGCCGCGGCCCGCCGGGCGTCGGCAGGCGCGGCGCGAAGATTGTGACGGGCTCGACGCGGCCCTTGACGGAGATCGGCTCCAGCGTCTTGTCGACCTCGCACGCGCACGCGTGGAGCTCGGCGCCCTGCTGCGTCGCCCGGTCGACGAGGACGGGAATGGAGTACTTTGAGGCGGCCTGGGCATATGCGCGAGGGGCGCGTCACGCACGCGTCGAGGGCGTGTCCGCGAGGCCGAGGAGGGGCAGGGCTAGCGTCAGGGCTAGGGGGAGAGTCAGGGCTCGAGTCAGGGTTCGAGTCAGGGTCAGGGCTAGCGGCAGGGCTAGGGTCAGGGTTAGGGGGCAGCAGGATGTGCCGGCGGCCTGCATCAGCCTCGCAGCGAGGTTGACGTGCGACCCGTTGAGCGTGTACTCGCGCCGCAGCGGCGAGCCGGCCTAATCTCGTGCAATCTCGCGTCACCTCGTGCAATCTCGTGTGCTCGCGCCGCAGCGGACGAGCGCGCCTCGCAGCAGAAGACCTTGCCCGTCGTGATCCCGATCGCGCAGCCGAGCGGCGCGACGCCGTCGCCCGCGTCGCCGCCCGGCACGTGGGCGAGCGCCTGATCTCGGGCCATCTCGGGTCACCTCGGGCCATCTCGGGTCACCTCGGGCCATCTCGGGTCATCTCGGGTCATCTCGGGCCATCTCGGGCCATCTCGGGCCATCTCGGGCCATCTCGGGCCATCTCGGGCCATCTCGGGCCATCTCGGGCCACCTCGGGCCATCTCGGGTCACCTCGGGTCATCTCGGGCAGCCTCGGTGTCGCCGCCCGGCACGCACGCGCCCGAGAAGCAGCTATCTCCCCACATCTCCCCACATCTCCCCACATCTCCCCACATCTCCGCAGATCTCCGCAGATCCTCGCAGATCTCCCCAGATCTCCGCAGATCTCCCCAGATCTCCCGCGCGCCTCGGCGATCTCGAGCGACGCGATGACCGCGCGCGCCTCGTCGTCCTCGTGTGCGCGACCGGGCAGCCCGAAGGCGACGAGGAAGCGCGTGCCTAGGAAGTGTCTAGGGAGTGTCTAGGAGGTGCCCAGGAAGTGTCTAGGAAGTGCCCTTGTCGAGGAGCCGCGTGCCCTTGTCGTCGGTCAGCACGCGCGTGAGGGTGCCGCCGTGCCGGCAAACCTTCTCCTGCACGATGTTCACCGCGGCGTGGCAGCGCGCCATGTCGTCTATCTCGCACGCCTGACGTGCCCAAACGTCAGCGCCCCTGACTGGCGCTTGAGCTCCTCTTGACGAGCGCAAACCCTGCTTCTCTCGCACGCCTGCCGGCCCAGCCCGATCACCTTGAGAAAGACCGACACCAGCTTCCGGTGCTCCGAGACGTAGAGGCCGTCCAGCTGCCCCGCCTACACACCGCACGCCTCGGACATGTCGTGGACGTGCCGCGGGGAGGGCGCGGAGGCCGTCCAGCTGCCCCGCCTCGACGCGCTCGACGATCAGGTCCGGCACGTACGCCTGCAGCTCACTCGCCGTCAGTGAAGAGCTCGCTCCTCCGTACTCAAGGAATGGGGCGCGCACGCCTGCAGCGCCGGCCGCATGTCTGGCCGCAAGCACGGGACGACGACATGCTTGAGCAAGTGCGGCGGCTCGAGCTCCGCCTGTGGGGCGGCTCCCAGAGGAGTCCCGGACATGTCCTGGACACTGCTGGAGCAGCTGCGGCGGCTCAATCTCCTCGAGGCCGAGCACCGACCCGCTGCTGCCGCCGAGGCTGAGGCCGCCCTCCCCCCCGCCGAGCGGGTCCGCCAGCGCCTACGCGCGACGCGCCAGAGGACACGTCCGTGGACATGTCTCGGAAAGGTCGCGGCGACGCCACAGCGTCGAGTCGCGTGCCATCGCGCCTCCTCGAGCTGAGTCTAGGAGGTGTCTAGGAGGTGTCTGGGAGGTGTCTAGGAGGTGTCTAGGAGGTGTGCCATCGCGCCTCCTCGAGCTGAGTCTAGGAAGTGTCTAGGAGGTGTCTGGGAGGTGTCTAGGAGGTGTCTAGGAGGTGTGCCATCGCGCCTCCTCGAGCTGAGTCTAGGAGGTGTCTAGGAGGTGTCTGGGAGGTGTCTAGGAGGTGTCTAGGAGGTGTGCCATCGCGCCTCCTCGAGCTGAGTCTAGGAGGTGTCTGGGAGGTGTCTGGGAGGTGTCTAGGAGGTGTCTAGGAAGTGTGCCATCGCGCCTCCTCGAGCTGAGTCTAGGAGGTGTCTGGGAGGTGTCTGGGAGGTGTCTAGGAGGTGTCTAGGAAGTGTGCCATCGCGCCTCCTCGAGCTGAGTCTAGGAGGTGTCTGGGAGGTGTCTAGGAGGTGTCTAGGAGGTGTCTAGGAAGTGTGCCATCGCGCCTCCTCTAGCTGAGTCATCACGTCCTGCCGGTGGTGCGGCCCGGCGCGGCGGCCGCTGTGCACGCGGCTGCTGCTCCCGCCGCCGTCGCGCGGCTCGGCGGCAGACGAGCCCCCGAGCCCTCCCGAGGTGAGCTGCCGCCACGACGAACCGTGTGCCAGCGGCGCCGCGGACCTCGCCTCCCCCGCCGGTGTTGCGCGCGTGGAGCTCGTCGTCTCGCGCGCGGAGGAGGGAGCCGTCGCGAGCGCCATCGCCGCCAAACGGCGCACGTCGGAGCCGCTGCCCGGCGTGCCGCTCCGCGAGCCGGGCCGCAACTTCAAATCGAGAGACTCGCCGGCCGCCTCGGCCGCGCCGGCCGCTTCCGACGACCCGCGCCGCTGCCTCGGCGTTCCGCCGCGCGGCGCGGTGGCGGCGCGAGACGCGGGGGCGGCGCCGTGCTCCGGCTGCGCCTCGGTTGCGGGCAGCGTTCCGTCGCCGCAGAGCGCCATCGCCGCCATGCGCCGCACTTCGGACCCGCTGCCCGCCTTGCTCGCCGCGGACAGCTGCGCGCGCGGCGTCGCGCCCGACCGCACGCCGCTGTCGGGAGCGGCGCTGCCCCCGCCACGGCCCAACTCGGGCGCTGCTGCTGCGTGCGGCTCGGGCGGCAGCCCCGACGGAAGGCGCTGCGCCTGCAGAGCAACGACCAGTCCTCGGACTCTTCCTCCACGGGCGGCAGGCCCGACGGAAGGCGGCGCTGCTGCGCCTGCGGCAGCCGCGCCGCGCCCCTCCGGCTCCCATCCGACGCGCAGAGCCACTCGTCGCCGACGTCGCGCGGAGGCACAATCTTGTCGAGCCGAAAGTGGCCCTCGCCTGCAGTGCAAACCCACACTCATCGAAGTGCAGACCCCCCCCTCCTGGCCGAGCCCGGAAGGTTCCCTCGCCCTTCTCGCCGACCAGCTCGCCGCGCAGGCGGCAGCCGCAAGGCCCAGCCTCGCCGCCGTCTGGATCCTCCTCCGCATCCGCCGGATCGCCGGCCGACGAGCGCCCCGAGCGGCGGTCCGACGCGTCGCAAGACACCGCGGCGGACGGCGGCGCGGCGGGCGCGGCTTCCTGATGGAAGAAAGTGTTTAGCGAGCCGCGCCGCCGAAACAAAGCGGCATGCCGACGGAAGCCGCTGCTCGCCTCCGAGCCCACTCCGCCGTTGCCGGAGCCCTCGCCCAGCGGGTCGCGGACTTCGTCCGCCGCAGCCGGCGCGGGGTCGGGCGGGTGGAGCGGCGAAGGTGTGAGCGGCGCGGCGGCGGCGAGCAAGGCGAGTGCACGGTCAGAGATGACGAGTTGTCCCGAGGTGGCGAGGTCGGTGGCGACCGCCATCTGCTCGATCGGCTCCCCGGCGATGAAGTACTCCCACTTGCCCGCGTGCCCACCCACGCAGAAGGCGGACAGGTCGCCCGCGCCGATGCCCATGTGCAGCGTCAGCGTGACACCCGGCACCGGCGAAAAGTTGTTTTCGCGCTCAAGCAGCTGCAGGCAGCACAGGCTCGCGCGCAGCACATGCGTCGAGAGCGGCTCGTGCGGAGGCGACGCCTCGTCAGGGCTGCCGCCGCCACCGCCGCCGCCACCGCCGCCGCCACCGCCGCCGCCGTTGCTGCCGCCGCCGCTGCCGCCGCCGCTCTCCCCGACACCCCTAGTGCCGGTGCGGCCGCCGCGCTCTCTCCAGACCACCTGTGGGGGAAACAGGCGGTCGGACTCGCAGTCCCGGCAGGGGCAGGCGCCGGCCGAGCGGTGGTGGGGTCGAGAGGCGGCGCGCGAGCACGCCTGCAGCGCGCCGCCCGCACTATCTCGCACACCTCTCGTCTACAGGCGGCGGATCACGGGCCTGCAGCGCGTCGCCCGCAAACTTGATCACATCGCCGCCGTGGTGCGAGACGCCTGCCGCGGGAGTGGGGGGGGAGGAGGAGCGCATCGGGACCGGCGCAGGCCGGGTAGCAGGCGACGGGCCGAGACGGCGCGCAGCGCGCGCGCAGCTGCAGCCTTTGCTCCGAGCGCGCACAGTCCCGCGCGTGCGGGAGCTGCGAGACGGCTGTGTCGGAGCGGGGCGAGCGGACCGTCAATCAAGCGCGTGAGGTAGGAGTTGATGTACTGATTGAGCTTCTCCGATCCCTTGTTCCCAAAGTCCTTTTGCAGCCGCTCGGAGAGGGCGGTGAAGCCGGAGACATCCACAAAGCCGACGGCGCCCTCAAAATCCTCTCGCTCCGGCGCCGACGGCGGCGCCGGGTGGCGGTCCGCGGCGTGCCGCAGGACGAGCTCGGCCGGCGCGTACGAGGCCAAAACCTGTATCGCGGTTATGGAGCCCGGCGAAGGGCCTTGCTCCCCGCTCGCCATGATCGGTCGCTTGCGACTTCGCGGTGTTTCTTTGTTTTCGCGACACTTTTTTCTCCTTTTATATATCAAATGAACTCGGGGGCACAGGACGCGGTACAAACGGGGTACACCAAAAGGCACAGGCTGCCTGCACGACGTTCACTCGAACGCCATGCACATGGCGCGGAGCAGCATCGGGTTGGTGTCGAACCCGAGCGGGTCCTCCTCCCAGTCCCGGTGCCCACCCTCCGCGACGCCAGGCCGCGCAGGGGCGCGGCCAATGCCGCAGCCTCCCCGCTGCCCGTTTCGGGCTCCTCCTCCTTCGCCGCCTCAGCCACCTCTGCCGCCGCCTCCGCCGCCGCGCGAGCCGCCGCCGCGCGAGCCGCCGCGCGAGCCGCCGCCGCGCGAACCGAATCGCGAGCCAAGATCTTGAACTCCCTCTCGCGAGCCGCCGCGCAGACTTCCGCCCAGGAGCGCACGTCCCGGCAGCAGCGCACGTCCCGGACATCGCCACCATCCCGGCCGCGACGCGCCTCGATGTCCTCATACGCCCGCACTGTCGCCATCGCCGACGCCAGCAGCCGAATCGCTGCCCCATCGAGGAGGCAGGGTTCGTCGTATCCGGCGGGCCAGATTGTGGCGTATCCGCGGGCGCATATCACGCCGCAAGGCCCGACACTCAAAGGGTCAGGAGGCCGGTAGGCATGGATGAAGGCCGCTGATGAAGATGATGAAGCCGTTGTCGCGCTGCAGGCGGGGCGGAGAGTGTCGGAAAAAGAAGTGACCCTGTCCGTTGTGCCAGCGCAGCCTGGCGCAGACGCCAGGCCGCGCAGGGGCGCGGCCAATGCCGCAGCCTCCCCGCTGCCCGTTTCGGGCTCCTCCTCCTCCATCTCCGCCTCCGCCGCTGCCTCTGCTGCTGCACGGCCCTCAGCAGCTGCCTGGCGCCTGTACTCCTCGAACACGGCCACCTCTCGCCGCACCGGGCACACCTGCCGGTAGGCCGCCGCCGCCGCAGCCCACTCCTCCTCATCCTCCCTCGCAGCGTCGATCGTCCCATCGCCGCTCGTCGGCAGCGCGGGCACCAAGGGGTCCAAACTGGACACCTCGGTCCCACCTCCGATTCCACCCTCTGCGGCCTGCGCATCACAGGCGCCGCTGTCCGCCTCTTGGGGGCGCGCGCCGCCGCGGCCCTCGCCGCCGGCCGCCGCCCCGCCGCCGTGCTCCTCGCTAGCGGAGCGCGTCCCATCTCCGCCGCGGGGGCCGCTAAGCCCGGCTGCGGCAATCGCATGCAATGCGGCATGCACGGCACCCTCGGCAGCGCCTGTACCGACGCCGCCGCCCGCGCGCTCGCCCGCAGCACCATCGCCGCCGGCCACCGCGCTGCTGCCCGCCTCGAGCGGCGCCGAGACGCTGCCGACATCCTGGGCCAGCAGCTGCGGCACCACCTTATCTGAGATGGGCGCAGAAACTTGCGCCCGCTCGAGGAGGGCCGCGATATCCTCGTCGGGAGCGATGGTCGGCCGCGAGGCCGCCACCTCCCTTGTCCGGCGTCCCTCCGAGCCCACCCGGCGCCCGAGCTCGACGAACGGAGATACGCACGGCTCACGGGAGGTGAACCCGCGTTTACAATATCCGCTTTTTTCATTTCTTGCTCTTCATTCACAAAAACAAGACATCTCTCTCTCTCTCTCTCTCAATTCAAAAACACATTTCCACCCGTCTCATCAACTTCGAAACCGCCTTTGAAAGGGGGCAAATGCGTCCGTCCCTGAGACGGTTGGGAAGGGGGTGCTTTCACTGCGCGTCGGCGCGCGGCGAGGGCGGGTCTAGCCCTTGCACTAGTCTGGATCAGAATCAAAATGGGACAGCGAGCCTTGAACGTGAGACAGGGCGTGAGACGAGACCGGACATCTTTTCGCCTCACGCGGGTGCATTCCATCCGACCCAACACTGTGCACGGCATCTTTTCGTGCTACGTCCAACGTTGCAAGTTTCACGCCGGGAACGCGGAACCCGCAACGCAACCACCCGCAACCGCGAAGTCCTAGTACCTAGCGCCAGTCCCGTGCCCAGTGTTGTGCGAGGGAGTTTTGTTGTAAAATCCTGTACCTAGATCGAGAACGGACCCTCGCGACGGACCACGCCTGGATCGAAGATTCCGTGATCCTGATGGCCCGATCCTTCGTGCTTCGAGTGGACCACACGAAGACTAACACACGTGCCGGACGTGTTTTGCGAGGGCCCGGCCGAGGCGTTGTCCATTGAACAGCATCTTCTCCCAATACCCAAACCCGGCGAGCAGGCCAAAGCCCACGGCCCCGGTTATCCCCACGGCGCCGCGGTCCGAGCCTGCGGCTCATCGATGTACGATGACGCTACAGCCGTAGCAGCGTGAGCGTGACCGCTCACAGAGCTGCCTCACGCCTCATCTGGCCACAAGGAAACCACGCACCGCGACAGCGGACAGGCCCCGCTCGCGTGTGGGTTGCAACCCAAATTGTGGGGCGGTTTCAAGCGCGCGGCGCCGCCGCCCTGCACAAGGTCACCGCCGCCGCATCTCGACGACAACGACGCGCGCCACGCGCAGCAGCAGCGTCGACACGAAGCCCGCCGCGTCGGCGTGCGCGAAAAAGGCCTCGGCGCCGTCGTCGGGCCGCCGCTCGAGTCCCACGAGGATGCGCGTCTGGGGCGCCGCGAGCGCGCGCAGCATCGTGAGCAGAAGGAAAGTGTCGCCGAACATGGGGGCGAAGATGCAGTCGCACGCGATGATGAGGCCCGGAGGCTCGCCGCCGAGGTGCCGCTGCACGAGCTGCTGCGCCGACCCTTCCTCCCACTCGAGGGTCACGCCTGCGGCGGCAGCGGAGGGAAGCACGCATGGGAAGAGCGCGCTCGCGCGCGCTCCCACGCGCGCATGTTTGGCGTGCGAGGCATGCGTGGCATGCGTGACATGCGTGACATGCGTGGATTGGACGGCGGTGCACCGTGCGCCGCCGCGAGCTGCGGGTGCGACCGGCAGCCCTCCTCGGCGAGCTCGGCGACCACTCCTCTGTCGGTCAGCAGCACCGGCGACGCTCCGAGCAGTGCACACGCCAGCCCGGGCAGCCCGAGCCCACAGCCGAGCTCGACGACGCTCGTCCCACGGAGCGTGGCACGCCACGCCGGGCTCGCGAGCAGCAGCTCCGTCACGTGCACCGCCGAGTCCCAGATGAGCGTGCCGGTCCACGAGCCGTCGGCCCAGAGAGCCGAAGTGGGCTCGACCACCTCGTTGTCGCACAGCGCCATCGGATCGGCCAGATGTGCCATGAATGCTGGCACGCGCAGCTCGCACCACTCGTCGTCGCGGTCGGCGAGGCGCACACCGATGACGGCCACGTCCCGCAGCACGCCGATCACGTCCGGATCGATGCAGCCCTTGGCCACGTCCTTCTGGTTGAGCCGCATGAAGAGACTCTCGAACTCGTCAGGCTGGACCATGTGCAGAGACAGCCACGCGCTCGCGTATCTCTGCTGCTTGGTGAGCATGCGGTAGACTGGGGAGCCATCAACGTAAGGTGCGGCGGCCGTGGCTGCAGCCAGAGCCTCCGGCATGGTGCTCGTTGACGCCGCCGCCGCATGATGAGCGCATGCAACACCAGGGCGCTCGCGCACGCGACCAGCGCGCCCGTGGGGCATTTTGGCGCCCGGTGCCAACCAAGAACGCCTCGTTGGAACATGGACACAAGTATACTCCGCGAAATCGAAAGTGCAGCGAAAAGGTTACGGCCCTCGTCCGCCTCGGTGGCGGAGGTCGTCGCGTTTGCGCCGCTCTTCTATTCGTTGAGCACTTGAGCACTGGATAGGGTCGATTCCGCGTGGTACGGGACCCCTCGATCGTCTCGCCCTCCCTCACTGGTACGTTCATTGGGGGGGGTCATAACAAACACGGTACAGGATCGAGGTGCACGCTGCCGAAGCAGTGTCGTCCCCCCTCTCCCCGACGGCGATGGCGGTGTGACCGATCGAGCTACAAGAGGAGCTTGTTCAGCATGAGCAGGGTGAGCCGAGCAGTTCTCACTTCCTCAATGGGTGAGCTTCAGTCCTCAGGCAAACCTACCCCCTCACCTTCGGCTCGTGTGGATTCGAACCACCGCCGTGGCGCGCACCATCATGATCGCCCCGGTGGCCGTGGCCCTTCTGGCCCCGCCAGAGGATCCTCGCCACCTCTCCGGCGCCCTTGCGAGCGCGGCCCACACGCTGCCCGGCGCGCCCTCGCAGACCGCGTCCCAGTCCATGACTGGGAAGCTGTCCACTCCTGTGTGGCATGGGCTGCCCGAGGTCTCGCCAGCCAGCCTGCGTGTCGACCATGCCGCCAGTCTGGAGCGGCTCATCCTCAGCGGGTTGCGGTCCCCCGGGTACGCCTGCCACACCCGGCCTCGCTCTCCGCGCTCGGGAACCTGGTAGAACACCCTCGTTCCCCTCTGATCATGGAGCCCTCCGCTGTATTCCTCCACCAGCTGCTGCAGGTCCCTCGGCTGCGTGGCGAGGTACGCATTGGCGATGGTGTCCGCATAGTGATTGCCGTACACCCCCCGGTGCGCTCGGACCCACATGAATTCCACTCGCTCCACGGCGCGGTCGTTGCAGAGTTCAACAATCCGCTCGAGCAGCTGCCGCCGGTGCATTGTTCGCAGAGCCCGCAGTGACCGCGCCCTTCTCGCCGCCTCTATCATGACGAGGGTACTGCTGGAGTCCACCAGAACAAGAGCCCTTACCTTGGCATCCCGCCTGCGGGCGCGGCGCACCGTCCTGGCCAGGTACGCATACACCGTGTGTGGGGCGCGGGGCCTGCACTGTGGCACCCGACGGAAGCGCGCCCCCGTGAACATCCGCCCCACGGAAGCCCGTCCCTGTCGCGTATATCCCAAACGCAACTCGGGCAGGCTCCTCCCTTGTTGCCGGTTGCAGACTCCCATCGGTGAAGGCCACGTCGGTGTACCGGATCCTCGCGTGCCTTTGCAGGGCAAGGTCCATCATGTAGGCCGTGGTGTCGGATCGCATCCCCCTCGCCTCCCCCCATTTCATGCGAATGGGCGGGAGGGGGACCAGGTCCTCGGGCGGCGGCCGCATGGCAATCCCCTCGCACTCCGCCGCCCATTCGTAGAGGCCCGCGAGCATCTCCGCGTCCCCGCCCTCGCCGACCCCGGTCAGGGGCGGGATCCGGTACGCCGGCATTCGCAGGATGTCCCGTCCGACGCGCCCGTATCACTACAGTAACACTCGTTTATCAAAAGCGTTACCTTCTGCACGTGATCTACCGTACGCCTGCAGATCCGAATTCCGATCGTCTGCACCAGCAAAAGGCCACACACCCCGTACTTTATAATTTCAAATAACGCGTAAACTGAAAGGTGGGGAACGCGAAATCTGTTCTATAATCTATTGTAGAATCTGATGGCAACACGCGTGGACAAGAGCGGACGCCGAGTACGGAGTTGCGAGTTCCGTACACCAGCAGGGCTGGTGGGCAGCACCAAGCACAGCGTCCAGCTCCAGGTCGATGGTTGTCGTCGCCGCGACCGGAGCTCCGGTCTCGCCAACTGCAACTCGCCTGTGGTGCCTGCCTGCCTTCTCGCAAGACACGAACGTGAGACCCCAGCGCAAGCCCTCTCAGGCCGATGGAGCACGTGTAATCCGCAGCAGATATGCATGCGACGGCAGCTCGTCGAAATCTCGCGGCAGGCGTAAGCACGTGTCGGCGGTGGCGGCGAGCCCGTGTGACGCGAGGGCCTTGTCGAGGCACGCGCGGCACTCCGTCTGGCCGTCTGGCCCGAGGCTGTAACTCACGCGGTCATTGTAGAGCCAGACCTCGCCTGAGGGAGAGGGTGAGGGTGAGGGTGAAGGTGAGGCGAGAGTTGAGAGGTGAGATTTGAGCGGTGGGGCGAGATGTGGGTTGTGGGAGGGAGGGTGAGGGTGAGGGTGAGGGTTGGCGTCGGATCTCGCCATCTGGCGCGAGCAGCGTCGCAAACGTCTCCACGAGCGCGGGGATGCACGCCAGCACATAGACCACCTAAGTAAGTGAGTAGGTTGGTGAGCCTCTCGCATCTCGGCGAGCGCAGGGATGCTCGGTAAGCCATCTAAGTAAGTATGAGTAAGTAGGTAAGTGGATGGCTATTGGATGGCTATATACATAAGTAAGTAGTGATCAAGTTAGTAAGTGTACACACATATAGTGAGCGCAGCCCACCTGCGAGGCGATAATGACGTCAAAGGCGCGGCACCCGCCGAGCCGGCCCTCCGCTTGCGCCTGCTGCGAGGGTCTCGCGCCCCAAGCCAGGTGCGCCGCCTCCACTCGTGCGTGGCTTGGCGCGTGGCGGGCAGCGTTGTCCGTGCACAGTGCGACCTCAGGCACGTCGCCATCTGTGATCACAACATGGCTCGCGGTCTGAGCAGCGATGAGGCCAACCAAGCCGCAGCCCGCCCCCAGCTCCAGTACCGTCCGCCCTACAAGGCGGTCCAAGTTGAGCGCCACGGTCGCAGGCATGACCATCGACCAGAGGATGTCGCACCCGCCCTCCCTCCAGCCGGTCACGGCCTGGTGCAGGCGGTGGCTCCCGGTCTCAAACTCAAACTCGGCCTCCTCGTAGTCGCCAGGAAGGGCAAATAGTGGCGGAACGTACTCGTCCTTGCCCACCTCGTATGAGGATGGCTGGAGGCCCACAAGAGGCGCGGGATCATCGGCCATTAGTGATATTTCGGGCCGCCAAGCGAGTTGTCGGGGTCCCTCCTTCCTCTCGTGTCTCGCAACGTGCTCCGCTCGAGTGGCTCTGTCTAAGAGTAAGTAGGAGTATGGTTCTTGCACTTGTGCAAGATTGGGCGTCTTCTGCCGCAGTCCCTTTGATGGGAGGCCCCAGGGTGGGGGCCACCTCGAACCCCCAGCCAGGGATTCGAGCGGAGGGTGCCCCGGCCGGATTCATCTATCCGTCGGGCCCCGGAACCTATTTTAGAACTGATCACTTTGCGCAGCAACCGTCGGCCGCCGCTTTTTAGCTGGACGGCAGTGCGCTGCGCCGTCGCTCTGTCTGTCGTGCACGCTCTCGTGCTTCGTTGTGACACGGGGAGTAGATAGAGTCGAGAGGTAGCCCTCGACGAGACGACCGGCGCTGCGATGCCAGACCTCGCCGCCGCCGAGCTCAGCATTCCGGCCGAGCAGCACCCCGATCCCGCAAGGCCACTGGTGATACCCGTCGACTCAACAGTGGTAGGCTCTACCCGGCGCTTCATTCCGTGGTCTGCGGTGGGCAATCCGGCCCTCCTCAATCTGCCCCCTCCTCTCCAGGGATGCAACCGTCGTGGGTCCAGATTCCGCAGTGGGTCGCCATCAGTGCACTTCTCCCGTTCTGTGAGCCCGAGCCCGCTGTGGCCACCTACTTTGACAGACTCAGCGTCTTGCGGCTGGCCGTATTGGCCGCGGCTTGGCGCCGCATCCTCGGTGCCTTGTCCGACCTCGGCGTGTTCGGCACGGTGCACGTGGATGAGGATACGTTCCGTACGGTGTGCGTACATGTTTGATTGAGGTCTGTAGAGCTCTAGAGCTCTAAAGGGTGATGGGTGTGGATGCTGGGTAAATCGGAGGACGCGACCCACCTCACCACAGACGGTCCCGCGCCTCGCCGCCAAGACGGCTACACGACCGCGGCTCGTGTGCGTGTAGCCGTCTTTGTCCGGAGTGAAAAGTCCAACGCGCTCGTCGGTGACGGTGTCCCTCAAACTGCGCCGCGCTCGGCGAACCTCGACAGCGCTTTCGGTGGCATGCAGCTCTTTGCGACAGAAGCCTGGAGAGCAGCTCCTCTGCTGCTCACACACTCTGCACAGTTGACACAGCCTACTGTGCGGCTGCCACAGCTGTGACAGCGATGGGCTCGCCCTCACTGGCCCTCAGTCACTTGTGCTGCGGCTTGTGTGAGCGACACTGCTCGGCGACTGCCGGCACACTGTGAGACCATGGGTGTGAGGTCAAACCACGCTACCAGCGCTTGGTCACATCGGCCCCGAGGTCAGATCCATCTACTCTGTTGATGACAAGACTTGTCTACCGGCTGGAGCCGAGCAGGAGGGCCCGGCGCACAACCCCCTGGTCAACTGACAACTCACCCTCCACCACACTCCGCGTAAAGACTAAAGTAAACTCTCTTTGCCGGGTGACTACTTCCTCGCGCGCGCGCGCGCGCGCACACACACACACACACACACACACACACACACACACACACACACACACACACACACACAACACACACACACACACACACACACACACACACACACAACGCACACACACAAGCACGAACACGAGCACATTGAAAACACACACACTGGACGTCCTCACTCGCCTCTCCTGGATGTGTGTGAGCGCCACTCATGTAATTCATGAGCCGCGCATGAGCGCCCTCCTCGCGGGGCCAGCCAGCCGCTGCTTCTCGCCCGCGCGGCCCTCGCGGCTGTGCGCGCGCGGCGGCGGCTCCGACGCGCGGCGAGCCGTCTCGCTCAGGTTGGAGTGCTTGCTGCGCGCGGATGCGTGCTTGCCGCCGCCGCCGCCGCCGGCTCCCTTTGCCGGCGGCCGCGGCGCTTGGGGCGGGGGCTTGGGAGGGCGTGGCGGCGGAGAGGGCGGAGGCAGCGGCGGCGTAGGCGGGCGCGGCGGGGAGGGCGGCGGCGGCGGCGGCAGCGGCGGGAGGGGGTGGCAGAGGAAGCAGCTGGTGGCGAAGGTGACGGGCGGCACCCCGACGAGCTTGAGCAAGGAGTCCGCCACGCACTCGCCCGACACCTGCAGCATCGGCGTCGCGCCCGTCGACGGCTCGAGCGGCGCGCCCTCGCGGCCGTAGCCGTACCCGGCGAGCCACGCGTCGCGGATCTCCTACAGCCGAAGCGCGGCCGGGCTGAAGCCGAGAGACGGGCGCGCAGCGCGCGGCGCCGCGCCGCGCCTGCGGGTAGTCGTGGTGGGACGGGTACGAGACCTCCGAGATGAGCCAGCCTACGGGACGGGCCCGGGACGCGTCCGACGCGGGCTCGGACGCCTCGGCCGCCTCGGGTGGCGAGGGCTGCCGCGGCGCGGGTGGCCGTAGAAGAAGTCGAGCCGCAGCCAGTCGGCGCCGAAGACGGAGGCGAGCAGAGACGCCTGCTGCGACAGCTGCGGCTCGAGCTTCTTGAGGAGGCGGGGGACGGAGTAGTTTTTGCAGGCCGCCATCGAGTCCGCGCAGTTGGGCGCCGGGATGCAGCGCGCGCCAGGCCACGGCTGCGCGCCCTCGGCCGGGGACGCCTCCGACCCGCGCCGGCGCGAGGGCGGGAGCAGCACGTCGAAGCAGCCGTCGCCCTTCGGCTTGGGGATCGCCATCACGCGCACGTGCGTCGGCTCGCCCTTTTGCACCAGCACGTTGAGCTCGGCGATCCCGTGCGGCCACGCGGCTGAGGCGGGCGCGTCGTCCGTGTACAGCCGCTGCACGAGCACTCCTCGGTGCTCGTACCTGCCCGCAGCCACACTCCCCGCTCAAGAGACGCTCGTCACGGGCTGCAGGGAGCACGGCGGCGGTGCGCGCACCACTGGCCCCACGAGGAGAGGCGCGCGAAGAGCCACTTCTCCACCTCGTCAGCGACGCGCTCGCCTGGTGGACACGCGTCCGACGCGTCACGCTCGCGCCCGGCCCCTCGCATGCAGGCGGCTCCCTGTCTCGCCAGTCCAGTTGCCGGCGCTCCACTTTGAGGGCGTCATCAGGAGCACGCCCCAGTTGGTGCCGTCGGAGGCGGGCTTGACCACGAACGCGCGCGTCGGGCCGAGGCGGTGGCGGCGCAGCGCCTGCGTCCGCCGAGGTCCCCAGATTCGGGCCGAGAGATTGGGGTCGGGCCAGGGGCCGGCGGCACGGCGCCTCGATCAGCCGGTCGCGCGAATAGCCCTGCCACTCGCCCATCGGGCCCGCGGCGAAGGCGCCGTACAGCACGGGCACGACGGGCAGGGCGAGGCGGCGCAGCAGCGAGTGGGTGAGCAGCTTGTTCTCGAGCACGCCAAACGTGCGGCGCGAGCGGTACACGTCCATCATCAGCCTAGCGGCCAGGGCCGGGGAGGCTTCGGGGCGGAGAGACGAGGAGAGAGGGGGGGGCTGCCCCGCCATCTCCGTCCGCCTCAGCCGCAGCGCGTGCGACGCCTCGCGCGAACTGGGCGGCGGGGCAGCGAGCACGCCGCCTAGAGAAGGCTCTCGGAGACGTGAAATCGGCGAGGACGGAGCGTCGGCGGCGCAGCGAGCGCGCCATCCGACGAGTCGCCGTCCACAGAGCCGCCTCTCTCCACGCCGCCTCCCGGCACGCCACCCGCCCCGCCACCACCACCCGCGTCGCCGCCAGCCTGTCCGGCCAAAGTCCCTCGCGCCGCCTCCTCCGGCTCGACCTTCAAGCCACGGCTCGCCTCTTTTCGGTCCGCGCCCCTCTCCTCGCGCACCAGACCGTCCGGCGTGAGCGGGCCGTCGCCGAGGGCGGAGTCGCCGCCGCCGCCGCCCCACGCGTCGCCGCCGCGCCACGCGTCGCCGTCCGCCCGCCTGCGGCGGTGCCGCTCGAGCCGCGCTGCGACGGAGAAGTGCGACGACAGTACAAACGGCGCCCGGCCGCGCCCGTGCTGGCCGGCGCGCGCGGCGGCGAGGGCGGCGGCGGAGGGAGAGGGCGGCGGCGGCGGCGGCGGCGGGCGGGACCCGAGCCCGCGCGGCCGCTCCATCGCGTCGTCGCCAAAGGCGTAGTAGCGGCCACCGCCGTACGAGTCACGCTCGAGGGCCTCCTCGACGTCGCCGCCGCCGCCGCGCCCGTCGTAGTATGCGGAGTCGTCGCCGCCGCGCGAGTAGTAGTAGGACGACTCCTCCGCCGCCTGCTCGTCCAGCCCCGACCACTTTGAGAACCGCCTCCAGTTGCCGCCCGGGTATCGGCCGTCGTAGGCGACGCTCAGGTTGGCGAGCGTGTGGCCGCACGCGCTGAGTGCCGTGGAGTGAGGTGCGCCCGGCGGCGCGACCGTCTCCAGGACTCGCCGCATCGTCATCGCCGTCTGGAGGAGCGAGAGCATCGCACACGCACGACGAAAATGGTCGTCATCCAGGTTGGAGATGTTTGGGTGGAGGGGACCCCGTGCGAGCCAGACTGAAGAAGTGGAGAGACGCCGTCGTAAACTGTCATGTCGGTAGCCGCTCTGCACCGCTCGCTGCTGGCGCGCGGTTGATCGCGGCGCCGACCCCCGGCGGCGCCATCTCGCGCGGCGAGAGACGGCGCTGCATCGCCATCGGCGCCAAAACAAACGGGAGGTCACGGCGCGGCCGCGGCAGCAAAAACATCGACGTTCGCTTCTGCTTCTGCGTCTCGTCTTGTCGCAGTCGCACACGCGCGCGATCCGCGTCGCTCCGCGAGGACACGAAGGCCGGGGTTCGAACTGGCAGCATAAGAGCGCCGGTTGGAACGCCGGCCGATCGTGCCATGGAGTGACGCACGTCTTGTACGCTCTGGAAAATCAGCTCGTGATATATGACTGGTTTTGTCCGCGGGAGCGAGGGCACTGCGGAGGCGGGCGGCGGCGGCGGAGGCGGCTGCAGCAGCACACGGGCTGGCGGCGGCGCGCGGAAGGTGGCGGTGGCGCGCGGACGGCGGCGGCGGCGCGGCGGCACTGCTCCTCTCGCGAGTGGCGGTGGACATGCTCCCACGTTGCCGACGCAGCGCCGGAGTGGCCGTCGCTGCTCGCCGCGACCACGACGGCTACTCTATGATACTCCGGGCCGACCCGTCCTACCCGACCCCGGTGGCACTCTTCCGTCTCGCTCACGCTGAGAAAAATTCGGACACCGCGTGCAGCAGAGTCGCCGACGAGTCGGTCCGCGTGACTCCTCGTGTCCTGTACCGTTCTCACACATCCATACACTCACTTTGGCCTCACTGAAGCGATGCCTGAATCCTGAATCCTCAGATTTTAGATTAGGACGCTGCACACCCTCTGGCCTATGCGCTTGAAGAGGGAGGGTGGGCGTAGACGCGGTGGCGTCCAAGCCCGGTGTTGCCGCCAAGAAGTGTTGCCGCGCGCACGCGACGGGTCTTACGCTTACGTTTGCTCACAGGGGGGGACTGAGGTTCGACGCATCATGCTCTGTGTATAGTTGCCATGCCCACGCTGGACGCCGAAGCCTCCAGCAACACCCTTGATCGCCGCCCGACCCAGTCGCACCGTTTACAGTGGGCCCACTGTAGCTAGCGGCGACCAAACTCGATATTGCACAGGCGACGACCCACTGGTCGCACTCGAGATTGCGAGCCCGTCGGCGCTCGCCCTCCAAATCCGTCTCTAGGGTACCGAGGCTCCACCCCCCCCCTTGGCGCCTTGTGTTTTCGTGCGAAGACAGCGAGATCTCGGCCCGCCGTCCTCCGCTCGCGCCGGCCACCCATGCGCTCGCGGGGCTCCCCGACGGGGCGGGCCTCGTGCTGATGGACCCAGCCGAGGTGCCCGACCAGTCGGAGTGGCGCCGACGCGCTGCGCGCGCCCACCAGCCTTGCCGCACGCGACGAACGCCCCCATGCGCCCCACCCCCGAGGGGTCCGACGGCACACCGGCAAAGATCTTCGTGTCGCCGATGCAGGGCAGGTCCCCAATCACGCCCTGGTAAATGTACAAGTCCGTCCTCGTAGTGCTGTGCTCGCAGTGAAACTCGTGCTCCACCGCGCCGCGCCCCAGCTTATTTTTCGTAGGCACCGGAACGCCAAAAAATCTAGCATGTCTTCGAGGGAAAAGTAATCCGAGCAAACCCGCGGCCGCAATGAATTAAAATAGGCGGTTTTCGAGGGGCTGGAGATTCTGGGTATCTGCTCACCACGCTCCACGGATCTCTCATATATTACTAGGAGGTGCCAAAACCCCGGCCAGGAGACACACCCGGGTGGGAGCCGACTGGTCGGGCGGCGAGCCGACTCACCTGCCGGATTTGCCGCTGGCCCGCCGGGCTGCAGGAGGGCCGCGAGAGGGCGCGGGGGGGCCTAGGGAGCCTCGGGGGCCTCGGGAGGGCCGCAACGCATGCCGTGGGCACCGCCCGCGGCATCCGGATGCAGGGACTCTCCGAATTCTGACCGCGGTATGTGATAGCAGCCGTCACACCAACGCTGTGAGCGTCTCACCACCTGAGCGAGCAGGGCAATCGCCCCTTGGGCTGCGGCAACGCACACCGCCGACCATTCCGAACATCTGCCTGAACATCTGCCGGCGACGCGTCCTCTTCTGATAGAATGCCATAGCACTCGGCGTTGTGACGGTCTCGCGCACAACCACACACCAGTGACAAAAGCGGGCCATCAGGGTCAGCGAGAGTGGAGGGTTTCGAGTCGAAGTCGGATTGGCGTGCCGATTCGGCATTGTTGGCACACGCAATGACATTTTTTTCAGCAACATTGCCTCATGATATGACTCGCGCTCTCTCACTCTCTATCGGCACCCGCACACAGAGAGAGACATCTCGGGGGCGCATGGGACACGAAAGACACAAAACGGCTGGGGCCACACGGCAGCACATCACACACCCATGGCGCGCCACGCGTAGCGCGCTGGGGGAGCGGGCGGCACAGCGCCGGGGCAGCGCCGAATCCGGTACCGCCTTGATGCGCCCGAGCCGAGCGGGAGAAAGCGAGTGCAGAACCACGCCTCGGGCGGTGAAACCCGGCCGCACCGCCGCGGCGACGGCACGGCCGGCACGGCGGGCTCGCCGCGCGAAGCGAGGCGCCGGCGGGCGGCGGCGGCGGCGGAGCCGCGGCGCCGACGCCGAAAAAAAGTCCGCACACGCCTTGGGTCGACGGCCGACCAGCCACGAAGAGCGACACCTACTACGGTGCCTCGGGCGGTAAAAAACACGGCCGCGCCGCCGCCACGACGGCACGCCCGGCACGACGGGCTCGCCGCGCGAAGCGAGGCGCCGGCGGGCGGCGGCGGCGGCGGAGCCGCGGCGCCGACGCCGAAAAAAAGTCCGCACACGCCTTGGGTCGGCGGCCGACCAGCCACGAAAAGCGACACCTACTACGGTGCCTCGGGCGGTAAAAAACACGGCCGCGCCGCCGCCACGACGGCACGCCCGGCACGACGGGCTCGCCGCGCGAAGCGAGGCGCCGGCGGGCGGCGGCGGCGGCGGAGCCGCGGCGCCGACGCCGAAAAAAAGTCCGCACACGCCTTGGGTCGGCGGCCGACCAGCCACGAAAAGCGACACCTACTACGGTGCCTCGGGCGGTAAAAAACACGGCCGCGCCGCCGCCACGACGGCACGCCCGGCACGACGGGCTCGCCGCGCGAAGCGAGGCGCCGGCGGGCGGCGGCGGCGGCGGAGCCGCGGCGCCGACGCCGAAAAAAAGTCCGCACACGCCTTGGGTCGGCGGCCGACCAGCCACGAAAAGCGACACCTACTACGGTGCCTCGGGCGGTAAAAAACACGGCCGCGCCGCCGCCACGACGGCACGCCCGGCACGACGGGCTCGCCGCGCGCAGCGAGGCGCCGGCGGGCGGCGGCGGCGGCGGAGCCGCGGCGCCGACGCCGAAAAAAAGTCCGCACACGCCTTGGGTCGGCGGCCGACCAGCCACGAAGAGCGACACCTACTACGGTGCCTCGGGCGGTAAAAAACACGGCCGCGCCGCCGCCGCGACGGCACGCCCGGCACGGTGGGCTCGCCGCGCGAAGCGAGGCGCCGGCGGGCGGCGGCGGCGGCGGAGCCGCGGCGCCGACGCCTAAAAAAAGTCCGCACACGCCTTGGGTCGGCGGCCGACCAGCCACGCGGAACTACGTGCCTCGCGCGAAGGGGGGCACCGGCGGCGGGTTGCCGGAGGACGCCACAGCCGGCGCCTAAACACACAGGGATGGTGGTGGTGGCGACGGCGTTGGCGACGGCGTGAGGGTGGCCGGAGGCAAGGTCGGTGGAGGGGCAGGCGGCGGTGGCGTGGGTAGAGGAGGCGGGGTCGGTGGAGGGGCGGGTAGTGGTGGCGCGCCGTGCACGCGCGGAGGCGAGGGCGGTGGCACAGGGCCGTTGGAAGCAGCCTTTAGCAGCGACACGCCTAAATGGCGGCTACACGCGTGACAACGGCATATATTGTGCGCGCGCGCAATGCGCATCCTCGAGGAATATGCCGTTGATGTTGGTCAACGTCCCGAGCCGCTGCCATGGCGTCCGCCGGAGAGACGAAGTATCCGGTGGGTCAGACCCACCGGTATCTCGTAGCCCCCCCACAGTGGGGAGAGCCAACCTCTCCGGCAGACGCTGGGCCGCAGCCTTCAAAGCGCACTTGGAAGAAAAAGAATTTTAGCAACCAGCACAATCCTCCTACACTAGTCCTGCCACACCAACCCGCGATGAACGCGATCTGCGGCCGCCTCCAGCGCGAGCGAGGCCCACGCGACAGGTTTCCCACCGACAGCAACAAAGCGGGTTTGCGTCTTTGCCCACGAATCTTTCGCCTCGCGAATCTCCGACTCCGAGCACAAGATCACGCCTCTGGCCCCATTTTTTGCGGTCATCACCTCCGCGTCCGAGCCGACAGTAATGAGGTAGCAGTACATGGCGCAGCGCCGAGAGAACAGCGTGGGGTCAATCTTGCCATCAAGTGTCGCATCTTTTTGGGTCTCATCGTTCCGCTCCTTGCGCGCGCGATCGGTCCACAGCCGCATCGGTGAATACACCCGCGACCCGGACTCGACATACGCCTCCATGTCCCGCACGATGACGAGGGCTGCCGCTGAGCCCCTCGTAATTGACGGGATTTTGACGGGGAGCGTCAAAATGGGTGGAGCGGACTTTTGGACGCCCTCTTGCACGCGGCCGGTGGCGGCCACAGTCAGCTTGTGCGGCACCTGGGTCTCGTGCCCGACCCACACCATCACCTGCTTCGTGTAGTTGTAGCCCGACATCAACCTCGTGGCCGTGCTTGGAGCTGGAGAGCAGATTGGCGACCATGTGTAAATATGTAAATATGTGGTGGATCCCAACCTCTCGGGCGTCGGCCCGCTCGTCAGGGCCAGGCCACCCGGTCAGTCGGCCGCGACAGAGTTCAACGCGCGCGCG